CCCGAAGGTCGTAGGTTCAAATCCTACCCCCGCAACCCAACCGGATGGCGGCACGGTCTACCGTGGTTCATCCAGCCGATTCCAAGCCCTGCGATATTCGTTGGGCTTTTTTTTTGACGCGTGCGCCAATCGCGCGGCGTGCGATGATGAGCGGCAATGCAAAACGCCCAATGATCGCCACGCCCCGGATGTTAAACTGCGCACCATCGCCCTCCGACCCTTGATCGATGAAATTTTGTTCTGTCTGCGGCCACGTGGTGAGTCTGCGCGTGCCTCCCGGCGACAACCGCGAGCGCTTCTTGTGCGACAACTGCAACACGATCCACTATCAGAATCCGCGTAACGTAGTCGGAACGGTCCCGGTCTGGGACAAAAAGGTTCTGCTGTGCCGCCGCGCGATCGAGCCACGCTATGGCTACTGGACGTTGCCGGCCGGTTTCATGGAAATCGGCGAGACGACTGCGGAGGCCGCCGCGCGCGAGACGCAGGAGGAGGCTGGCGCACGCGTCGAGGTGCAAACGCTGTTCACGCTGCTGAACGTGCCGCATGTGCATCAGGTCCACCTGTTCTACCTTGCGCGACTGCTCGATATCGATGTGCTGGCCGGCGAGGAAAGCCTGGAGGTCCAGCTGTTCGACGAAGCCGACATCCCGTGGGACGAGATTGCGTTTCCGACTGTCGGACAAACGCTGCGCTTCTTCTTCGCCGATCGCGTCGCGGGTGGCTTTGGCTTGCATACCGGCGACATCTTCCGCTCGCTGCGCGATGGCTGAACCCGCCTTCTGGCCATGCGTCGCGTGTGATCGCGGCGGCGCGAGGCCCGCGCGGGCACGATAATCCCACCATGGTTCCCTGGCTTAGCCTCAACGACCCGTTTCCGCCCGTCGAACACGCGCTGGACGACGTCAGCGGCGCACCCGGGCTGCTCGCGGCCAGCGCCGAACTCGATCCACGGCGGCTGCTCAGCGCGTACCGGCACGGTATTTTTCCATGGTACTCGCAGGGTCAGCCGGTGCTGTGGTGGAGTCCCGATCCACGCATGATCCTGGTTCCTGCGGAATTCAAGCTGTCCGTGTCGCTGCGCAAAACTTTGAAAAAAGTCCTGCGCGATCGTTCGTGGGAAATCCGCGTCGACGCGGGCTTCGCCGACGTGATGCGCGAATGCGCGAACGTAAACCGGCATGGCCAGCACGGCACCTGGATCACGCATGACGTAATCGCCGCCTACGATGCGCTGCACCGCGCCGGTCTCGCACACAGCGTCGAGACATGGATGGACGGTGAGCGCGTCGGCGGACTTTACGGCGTGAGCCTCGGACGGATGTTCTATGGCGAATCAATGTTCGCACATCGTACCGACGCATCGAAGATTGCGCTTGCCGCGCTGGTCTCGTACTTGCGTGAGCACCATGTCGACATGATCGACTGCCAGCAGAACACGGTGCACCTTGCGTCGCTGGGCGCGCGCGAAGTGCCGCGCCGCGCGTTCGTCACACATATGCGCGACGCGATACGGCTGGCGCCGATCCCATGGGCATTCGATAAGCACGTGCTCTGTCCATTGCTGGAACGACAGCGACTGGCAGAGTGACCGCACCCGCACCCGCAGCCATCACCGAAAGCTGATTGCAAGCATTGCGTCCGGCATGACGGGGTGAGGCACTTGCGCACTGTCCGATGTACGCATCGAAATGGCGGCCCAATAAGCGAGAACGATGCGGCTTGGCAAGAGGTTATAACCGTGGAGACCTTCGACTAGGCCAGGGCGCGGCGGGCGCCACAAACGCCCGTCATTTCGTGATACCGTTTATACAGCCTCGTGTGCTGGTTTGACTTGGCGGTTGCAAGCATGCTACCGGCGCCGAAGCGATCTGATGTCACCACATATCGGGCAAACAATCGCTGTGTGAAGGGCTGACGTGACCCATCTTAACGAACTGCCGATCTCGCCATTGTCGGCGCTGCAATTCTATGCGACAGCGCCCTACCCCTGCAGCTACCTGGAGGGACGCGTCGCGCGCTCGCAGGTTGCCACGCCAAGCCACCTGATCAACTCGGATGTCTACACCGAACTGGTCAAGGCCGGATTCCGGCGCTCGGGCGTGTTCACCTACCGGCCGTATTGTGACGGCTGCCGCGCGTGTGTGTCGGTGCGCGTGCCGGTCGAGCGCTTCAATGCCAACAGGACGCAGCGCAAGGTGTGGCGCCGTCATCACGGGCTGATCGCGGCCGTCTCGCCGCTGCACTACGATGAGGAACACTACGCGTTATACATGCGCTACCAGGCCGCGCGGCACGCGGGCGGCGGGATGGATCGAGACAGCCGTGACCAATACGAGCAGTTCCTGCTGCAAAGCCGCGTCAACTCACGGCTGATCGAGTTCCGTGAGCCGTACGAGCCGCGCGCGAATGCGCGTACACGCCCCATCCGCGAAGGCGCCAGCCCTCGCAAAGGCCGCTTGCGCATGGTCAGCATGATCGACATCCTCGGCGACGGGCTGTCATCGGTCTACACGTTCTACGAGCCTGATGTCGAGCGCGCGAGCTTCGGCACTTACAGCATCCTGTGGCAGATCGAGCAGGCGCGCAGCCTGAAGCTGCCGTACGTGTATCTCGGCTACTGGATCCGCGAGAGCAGCAAAATGGCGTATAAGGCGAACTTCCGGCCGCTTGAGGGACTGGCCGAGGGCCACTGGCGCGACCTGGACCTGGAGCCACCCGACGCGCCGCCGCTCGATGCGGCCATCGGCGCGCTCGCGCGCCCGGTAAAATAGCGGGTTTCGACTCCTGGCCGCCCGGCCCTGCCCACTTCCGTGCTCCACTCCCTTTATCCGCTTGCACGGGCGCACCTGTTCCGCATGGACGCGGAGGACGCCCACCATTTGACGCTGCGCCTGCTGACCGTAGCCGGCCGTGCCGGCATTGCCAGCTGGTTCGCACCGCACGCACCCGACGCGTCTCGCACCGTGATGGGACTGACGTTCCGCAACGCGGTCGGGCTTGCAGCCGGCCTGGACAAAGATGGCGCGTGCATCGACGGGCTCGCGGCACTCGGGTTCGGCTTCATCGAGGTCGGCACGGTAACGCCACGCGCGCAACCCGGCAACCCGCGCCCACGGCTGTTCCGGCTGCCGCGGGCCGATGCGCTGATCAACCGGATGGGGTTCAATAACCACGGCGTCGACGCGTTCGTCGCCAATGTGCGGGCCGCACGCTATCGCGGCGTGCTGGGGCTGAATATCGGCAAGAACGCCAATACGCCGATCGAGCGTGCGGTCGATGACTACGTGTACTGCCTGGAGCGCGTCTATCCGTTCGCCAGCTATGTGACGATCAACATCTCGTCGCCGAACACGAAAAACTTGCGTCAGCTGCAGGCCGTCGACGAGCTCGACGCGCTGCTCAGCGCACTGAAGGACAAACAGCAGCGCCTGGCCGACATGCACGGCAAGTGGGTACCGCTGGCATTAAAAATAGCACCGGACCTGGACGACGAGCCAATCAAGTCGATTGCGGCCACGCTGCTGCGGCACCGCATCGACGGCGTGATCGCCACCAATACCACGTTGTCGCGCCGTGCAGTGCAAGGCATGCGCCATGGCGACGAAGCAGGCGGCCTGTCGGGCAGGCCGGTGTTCGACGCATCCAACCGCGTGATCCGCCAGTTGCACGCCGAGCTTGGCAATGCGGTGCCAATCATCGGTGTGGGCGGAATTTTCAGTGGCGACGACGCGCGTGCAAAGCTTGCAGCCGGCGCGTCATTGGTGCAGCTCTATACCGGCTTGATCTATCGTGGCCCCACCCTGGTCGCCGAATGCGTACGCGCGACCGGAAACACTCCCGAGCCGCGGGGAATATAGGCCCAGTCCGCGATGGGCATCAGCGGGAGCCGCGCCCCAGTGCGCGCCGACGTCCCGCCGCTGCGCCATTGTACGCCCCCGTACATAGATAACGTGCGCCGCTGCCGATAATAAGCCGAATTGCCGTGCCACGCGTCGCACGCACGGAATCGATACGACATTGGCCCGAGGCCGATGCCCAATCCGAGAG